TCTCTCTCTCAAATAAATAAATAAAATCTTTAAAAAAAAAAAAAAGAAGACTTAGCTTGCTAGCAAATTCCCCCAAATTTCTAAGGGCTGGAGGCCAAGGGCAGAATCAGAGCTGCAGTAATAAGGGGAAGGGATTATTCTTACAGTTATTTTTTCCGCTTATTGGACAAAAAATCCAAGGGCCCGGGTGGTCAAGTGACTTGCCTATGTTCACCCAGGTACAGTGAGTGACATGGCTGGAAGGAATTCTACAGTAGACATTCATTGCTTTGAGGGGGTGGGATTCTGTCTCCGCTATTCCATTGGATCTGAGTGGGTTGCTTATTTATGTGTGCTCTTATGCCTTCCCCACCCCACTTCCCTCACTAGGGGTGCCCCTAACCTAGAAGCGGCTGGTGTGTCGATCGCCCGTACCCCCTGAGCCCTAATGGCATCTCACGGTAGCCACCGAGTGCTAGCTACTTGAATCTGAAAATGCGACCTGCCTCAGAAACCCGACAGATGCTAGGTGCTGGGAATCTTGGGATAAGGGTGCTGTCATCTGCTTTGATTTTTTTCCCTGAGTGTCAGCCTGGAAAACTCTAGCAACCTGTCTCGCCAGAGCTAGCTCTGTGTTCGTGGAAGGCAGCACCAGACCGTGGCCTCCTCGGTCACCTGACAGTCCAGGAAGGGTCTTAGCGCTTGGTCGTGTTGAAATAATGTTCTCCCTTGACCTAAATGTCGAGGAGGGATCTTGCAGAACGGATTCCTTTTCTATCTGCACGATGGGCACATGACAGTGAAGGACGCTTTTCAGTCAGCCCGAAAAAATTAGCAGTCTGGTCAAGTTGTTTTAGGCAAGAGGGAAGCGTGTGTGGGTGGGCGTGCGAGAGTATGCACACATGTTGCGACAGAGACAGCATTTCTTGACAAGGCTGTCGAAAGTGGAATGTTTTGATGAATAGAATTTAGTGCAAGGCAGTTTCAAAAATACCCTCTCAAGTACAAATCCATCGAACCCATAGATGCGGAGATGAAGGAGCCGGTCTGATCTGCCGAGAGCTCCGTTTTGTTTCTAGAAGGTCTCCTTCTCTTTAGGGATGGCAGATGGTCTTTTGGCTTGGAGGATGTGAGCCTCCTCCCGACGCAGGGCTCTGGGCCAGCACGATGACCTCTTCCTGGGTTTGGTCTCAGAGGGAGGGAGGCCGGAGGGACACTTGCACCTCTTGCTCAGGGGGGCCCTCCAGGAGGACCTGAGAGGGTGGGGCTTATGTCACTGGAAGTGGGTCTCCTGAGTGCCTTTCACTCTTGGTGGGTGGGTCTTGCAAAACCTCTATCCCCAGGCTCACTTTCACTAGCAGTCTGAGAAATTGCTGTAGAAATAGATAACTTTCTAGATAGATAACTTCCCTTTAGCAATGCTTAAGAATGAACTATTTCTTGGGGCGTCTGGGTGGCTCAGTGGGTTGAGTGTCTGACTCTTGGTTTCCACTTGGGTCATGATCTGGGGGTCGTGGGATCAGGCCCCACAAGGGGCTCCACGCTCAGCACGGAGTCTTCCTCTCCCTCCCCCTCTGCCCCTCCCCCAACTCCTGCTGCTCTCTTTCTCCCTTGCTCTAAAATAAATAGATAAAATCTTAAAAAAAAAAAAAAGAAGAAGAATGAACTATTTCTTGATAATCAGATAGCATTTAAGTATAGGTCCCTTTAGATTTCCAGGTGGCGGGGCACTGCAGTTAGGAGGTGGGGGCAGGGCTCTTATTTGGAGGCAGCGTTCAGTGAAAGCGGGCTGGTGCCCTGGAAGGTCCAGCTGAGGCCAGAATGGGCCAGTTACCTTGCAAAGTCACCGCAGCCCTCCTGGCCTCAGTTTCCTTGCCGGTTTAAAAGGACGTGACAAGTGTGTTGGAATAGGACATTTTCTTCTATCTTCAGGGTTGGTGGATTCCATCTATGGTGTTTGAGATTTCTTTTCCCAAGCCCTTGAATTGTCTCCCATAAAACTTGAGCAAACTGTAACTGTTTAATGATAAGCTGAAAAACAACATTAAGCACCTCTTTAGTAAGAGATACCCATGTTTTGGGGCACCCGGCTGGCTAAGTCAGTAGAGCCAGTAGGCCTCTTGATGTTGGGGTCATGAGTTTGAACCCTACCTTGGGTGTGGAGATTATAAATAAATAAACTTTAAAAAAAGAGAGAGATACCCATGTTTTATTTAAACATGTACACATTCACACATACTTTTGTGTATATACATGTGTATGTGTGATTACATTATATTACACTATCATATATTCTGCTAACTTACATTAACGTATTTGTGTGTGGGTGCTGATCTTATACGATTTTGTTGTTATAGTTCATAGAAGTAAAACCTGAAAATATTGAAAGTAAAACAAAAAGATAGGGCAACAGGCCCTAGGGCTCTACATTTTGCCAGCTGGCTTGCTTTGGGGACAGTTTCCGTAAAGTGCTCTGTTTTAACACAGTGTGTCATCTGTGGGGGGACTGAGTTCTTCATTGTGTGCTCGGTGGGACCTCAGAACTATATAGAGATTCTCTGAAATCTGAGAAAAGATTTGAAAAAATACTCTGAAACTTTGCTAACACACACCTGGGGAGCTTGGTAGGTTTTGGTGGCCAGCACAGTCTCTCTGTCCTTGGGATTACATGTTTCTATCCTTCCCGTCTGTGCACACCACTGTGCATGGGATTGGATACCGTCAGCATATTGCCTTGTGCTGATAGATGAATTTGGTTTTGTACTGCTAGGGAGCTCCTCAGCCCTGTCTGCCTTAATGCAAGAATATCCTGTGATCATAGGACAAGCTGTTAAAAAACAGGTGCTGCTTGCAATCACTCATCAGTCTGCCTCAGGACTCTGCCTGGTCATGTGCAACCGGGGAGCAATTAGCAGATATGATGCTGTGACTGGCATCCCCAACCCCTGGTGTCAAATTTTCAGGTTTGTCAAGATAGCTTTATTGTTCCCAATGATAGACTTTATCATTAGACTATCTTATGAATTGAGCTTATAAAATAAATGAAATACTGCTTTTCTCCCCGTGGAGGATTCATTGGGAAGAAGAGTTCTGCTGTCGAAAATGTTTGGAAACCACCGATACAATGAAGAGAGCACAGATTTTATAGGCAAGCAGTTCTGGATTTGAGCCCATCTTCCATTGCTTGCTCACTAGATGGTCAAGGGCAAAGTAATTTGCTTCTCTGAGCCTTAGTTATGCCGTCTGTAAAGTGGGCCTGCTCTCTAGCAAGCGGGCTGTTTTTGAAGATGATAGAGAAATGTACAAATAGACTTCGCCCAGTGCCTGACACATAACAGAAAGTTCAGCATATGATAACGGTTATAAAGCTTTTCGTGCTGGGAATTAAAGTCCCCATATTTCATGTCTGGTCATTACGAACTATCTTTCTGCACTAGGGAAAGACATCTATCTCATTTTATTTGCATGCATTTGCATATTTACTTATCTGGTGAACATAGCGTACGCATATCCCAGTAAATGCATTTTCCTCTACCTTAGAGATGTTTTAGCAGACTGGAGTGGCACATTCTTTCTGATGCATCTTTGCAGCAAATTAATTTCCTTTTCTTTCATTTTGAAAGTGTGTGGAGCCTTAACAGAATCATTTATTGTACTTTGGTTTTTTTCTAGTAGAAAAAAAAAATCAAACAGCCAAGGGGGAACTGCTTTTATGCATTGGGACTCCAAAGTGCTGCTTTATTTTTATGTACAGGCTCTTTGTGGGTGGACTGCAGAAATCCCTGCTCTTGGAAATGTTTCTGAGCCCTCTGGGAAACTGAACAGGGGAAAAAGAGCTAATTAAAAAAGCTGCCATCCGCCTCCTCTAATTAACTTGCTCTCTGCTCCTGGGAGAGGGAGCGGAAATGTGAACACAGCGCAGGCATCACCGGAAGTGAATGCCATTCTTGTGGTCCACGGTCGCCCGTCGTGTTTTGATGCAGAAACAGTTCATGGTAAACGGGCAAGGAACCACAAAGGGGCTTGATGTGCCCTCTCCCTCCCACACAGGGCAGTGGTGAATGGTGGCCCCTTCTGAGCAGGTGCTCCGGCCGGGCAGCTGCGGCAGGGGAGAGACCTCATTGGAATTCAGCAGCTCGGACCCAAGAGCATCCGGCCCTCCCTGTCGCTTGCTTGTGCTGTTGGGAAAGAGCAGGGGTTCTTTGTGCTCTAAAGCCTCACATCGCCAGGGCCCAGGGTTGCAGAAGCCACGGGAGGAGCACACAGCCTCTCACTCCACGCTGGAGAAGCTCACAGCATCCGTGGCCGGCAGTGTGGCTAACTCCTTCCTGACATCTTGGACAGATTTAGATCCCAGAGATACGGCAAGGGAATCAGGGGTGGGGCTTTAGGGGACAGAGGCTATCCTTCGGCAGAGATGGCTTTTGCCTCCTGGCGGATGTGGCCCCTGGTGGAATGGGCCCAGTGGATGTGGACAGCGGTGACCAGCAGTGGAGACTCCAGTCTGATGGCCCTTCAAGGAAGCCCTGGAAAGAGGCAAGTTGGCTCCATGCTTCTTGTCAGTGTTGCCCCTGACGCGTGCAGTGCTGGGGCAGGGTGACATCTGGGGCCCACCAGGGTGATTCAAACTCTTTTTTCTCTTTGATACTCCCTTGTGTAACTTCCTCGTGTTTTTCGTGCCGGTAAATGGACCCTGCAAAATTCAGGTACCTTGATCTGTTGTCGTCCAAGTGTGTCTCTTCCCTTCCCCTGGACAAAAGCGAAGGCCTTTCATATTAATTTGTGTTTGCAAAAAGTCTGCCTGGCCCCTGTCCTCCGTGTGGAGGTTAAGTCTTTCCTCGTGAAATTTGATAGTGTGCAAGCTTCAGCTCATTGGATCCCATCAAAAGCAACTCCAGTGTTTCTGTTCATCTCCTTGGGTCTCTGGAAGGCTTTGGGGCTGGTTGCTGGAGCCAGGATTCTTGGGGGTGGGGTCTTTGGCACTGATAAAATGAGTCACTAACAAGTTGTAAAAACATCAATGTGTAGATTTTTCTGAAGGGGAACTCACCAAATGGCTCCTTTTCTCTGTGTTGGCTGATGGTGGAGGGATTGGCTCGGTTCCTGGTCCTCTCCGCCGGCTAGCAGATAGTCTTTAGAAGAGGCTGCCCTCTGTGGAGGTCACGAGTCCTTTGACACCTTGCAGGAGCTCGGCAGTGGGAGCGTTTCATGCTCCACACTCACCTGGCTCGTCACCCTCTGATTACACGTCTTTACCCAGATTTGCCTGCTGGGCCCCTCGTGCTAGCAGCAGTCCTAAATATCCACTCTCTTGGTAATGACCTTGCTTGTGGCAAATGAATAAGTGACCTTTTAGTCTCTGTACAATATCTTGAGTTGGGAATCAGCCCAGGTGATGCTGCTCTGGCATCCTTGGAGTGAGGCTGGTCCAGGACCGTGCACCACTGGGCATCTTGAGCAAGGGCGGGGGGGGGGCTGCCCCGCGGCCCCAGGACACAGGCCTGGCTCCATGATTTGGGGAGGTCTCCTTCTTTCTGGCTTAAAATTGAACCCCCAGTAGAAGCAGGGTGACGGAGAAGGGCTGTCTGCTCTGGGTTTTCTGGAGCCCAGGGCAAGGCTTTAGTTTGTTGAGCAGCCTTCCCCTTATTTCTGGGTGGGGTGTCCTCTGGGTGGAATTTTGGCCCAGTTCTCTGGATGAAGAATCTTCCTTGGGAGCAGACCTTCCTGCCGAGTGGCAGTGGTTATTATCATATCACTGAGATTAGCAGGCTGGGTTTTATGTCTTGGTCTGGCACATCCTCCAGAGAGCTGGCTTGCCAGCTTGCTTTCATTCATTCATTCATTCACTCATTCACTCATTCATTCAACAGATGTTTATTCACTGCCTCTTGGCTTAGGCTCAGAGATGCTATAATAAATAAGGCCAGCTGCCCTCATAGCCTTGAAGCTCAGTAGATGAGAAAGATAATTAACACAATTAGGAGGTGAATGAATCTATAATAAGTTATGAGAAGCTCTGGGAAGGAAGGGCAGTGGGAGAGAATGATGGATGGGGAGAGGCCACATGCTGATTTGGTTTCACGGACTGGGGATCCTATGATGTGTTGGAACCATGGCATCGAAATGTATTCCTGGGAATATCAGTTTGACCGAATTGGTGCCAGAGTTGTTCAAAAGATTCCCCTGTGTTTGTATTTGTCCCTGAGGCCAGAAATACGTATTTCTCATAGGGCTAAGTTCAAAGCTTATGTCATTTGGGAACAAAGCTCGTGATAATGAGATTCCCTCTGGGGAATCATGCTGAGAAATGACTTTCCTTACATCTGTCCTTGAACAGCTCAGTTGGGCAACAAGCCTGGTTCTAGCGGTCCTGGGCAGGGGTCAGAGGGCCACACAGTCTCAGCAGCACTGGCCCCTGGCTCCTTGGAGCAGACTCAGCCCGGACCCCTGCCTAACCCTGTGCTTCTCTCCTCCTCTCTCCATCAGGAGTTCTGACTCTGAAGAAGCATTTGAGACCCCCGAGTCGACGACTCCTGTCAAAGCTCCCCCTGCCCCACCCCCGCCGCCCCCCGAAGTCACTCCAGAACCTGAGATCAGCGCACAGCCTCCCCTGGAAGAACCAGGTAACCAAGGTCAGGTGCTCCCCCAGGGAAGCTTGGGAGCAGCTCTGGGCTGGGGCAGCTGGAGGGGGGCACCCGCTCCAGGGGGCTGTTGCTAGAGATCCTTAGACACTCCCCAGCTGCTGGGGCCTCTCTGCTCAGGGCTGTTTTGTGAGTGAAAACTAAGAGTGAGCAGATATAGTGGATTATTCTGTCTGCTTTGAAGGTGTTTAGGGGAGGCCTGTGGGGAAACCCCTCGTTTAGCTTTGGGTGCCTTTTACTTGGCATCCAGAATTGGGTTTGAGGGGACAAGTGGATCTGGGAGGTTTCTATTTGGGATTCTATCTTGGATTCTAACATGTGGCCCTTGGCTCCCATAAGAACACTGGTGCTAGACAGCCCACATGAATCTGCATTTTTATTAAAGACCATAGCCCCCCTGGGCTTGGGGATGGAGATATGCAGTAAATGGGAAAGAAGAGAAAGCCATAGATAGCCAAACCCATGCATGGATGGTTCTTTTATTCCTCATTAACCTCAAGTTACCTGATTTCATATCACTTTCCTGCCTCCTTTCTTCCCTAGTGTGACTGAAAGCACAGATCTTTCCAAATCTTTCAGAGGTGATTGCTGGAGGTGGGAGGGGATGGGACAGATCTCATTCCCCAGCCTGCCCACCTGGCTAGTGTTTTGTGCGTGCATCCTTCAGTTACACCAGCAGGGGTGGGACCACTTCCAGTGTGAAAGTTTAACATGAGCCCTGGAAGGAGATGGGGACTGCCAGAAATGGCCCAGCAGACTGGTCAGGGGGCCAGGTGGTACTGCCCTTAGACCTGGACTACCTTCCTGCCTTGGGCCATTTATTTTAGAGGGCCCCACTCTGGCTTTCCTCCAGCCACAGTCCTCTCTCTGTGCTGAGGCTGTAGGGCCAATCTCCTCCTAGACCACACTCTGGATACCTGGGGACAGCCACTTCCTGGGCCTACCTGGTTCCTTTCTCATGGCCCATCTTCCCAGGACTGACTGTACCCATGTTTATACCTCTCAGCCAAGGAGGAACCAAGGATGGGTCTGGGACCTACAGGTGGGGTGTCCACACACCTGTGCTCAAGGCCACCCCAGGTAAGGGATGGAGCTGGGGTGGGAGGAGAAGGAGCAAGTTGATGGCTGGGCCTCCATTCATACTCTTGCCCCGGCCAGAAGCCAGGTGAACTGTAAAGTCAAATGACATTTTGACCTGGATGTTGGTTTTACAAAGAAATGGGTAGAATTCTTTCTACCTGCCCTGGGTTCAAACGGGCTGTTCTTTTAGAAAGGGTAGACACTCCGGGGCTGAGTCCTAAGCACATAGGCTCCCCGATCCTGGGGGAAAAGGTTAGGACCATTTTGGGGGGGGCAGATGTATTTGCTGGTGTCTGACAAAGGCAGTTTTCATATTTTCTCGTCTCTGACAGCTCATCTGCTAGTAGCACCTGATTGTACATCGCTAGTCTAGGGGCTGGGCCCTGAAAGAGGAACTGTTGCAGTTTATTTGATTTCAAAGCAGAGAAGGAGCCAGAAGGTTTTTAGCATTCCCATTTTTTAGCGTTCCCATTTTTTTTTCATATTATGAAGAATATAAAAATTCATTTCCTATAATACTGTAAAAAAAAAATCACCTTTAGGTTTAATGGAAAGTGAATGACAAATAGATTGTAATCCCTAGATCAAACATGTGATTGGAAATAAACTATCCTTTTTTTGTTGGTGCAAGTTCATGCCCACAGATGTGTGGGACTCTTGGGGAAAGAATTGAGAAGAAAATGATGGTGTATCACACTGTACGGTCCATCCCCCCTCACCAAGGAGTAAACAGGGAAGGGCCATTGCTGTGAGCCAATGTGCGCCTTCTGGGATTTCCAGCCACGCATCCTGATGGCGTCTGGGGATGGTTTGCTGCTTCTGTTCTTTTCTGTGGCCTGTCCTTGTTCCTTCTGCCTGACTTGCTTTTCAACAAAGCAAAGAACAGTCTCCATTCTTAAAAACAAACACATGCACAGCTCCCGCCTCTTTCTTAGAGGGCAGCTTCAGAAAGAATGAGCATTGCAGGGGATTAGGAGGTAACCCCCACCCGGAAGGGGTTGGAGCTGGTGATCACCACGAGTCACAGCCCCACAGAACTTTTGATTACATCAGTTGGAGTCTTTGAACACGGACTTTGTGCTTCTCCTTCTTGGAAAACTCCAGTGAAGCTAAATATACGTGGCTCACACAATAAGGAGTCCTACGGTTGGGATCGTGACTGCTTAAAGCCCCCCCGGGCTTGGGCTGTACAAAGATCCATTGGCTTCGCAGCCCTTGTTATAAAAGTCTGCCCGTCCATTCTGCAGACAGCATGGGGCACAGCAGAGGCTTGAGCAGGTGGGTGTGCCTGCTTTCAGAGGTAGCTAGAGGGAAAGAAAGGTTCCTTCTGGGAAGCGCAGGCAAGAAAGGGCTCGGGGGAATATCTATTGTTTGGTTCTCTTCTGCACAGTGCCCGGGATATTGCTAAAGATGCCGAAAGAGCCACGTAATAGAACAGACTAGACCCTTGGCTGTGAATAAAGACATGATTTGCTCCCCTGGAAACCCACACTGTAGAAAACAACCAGTCGGTCACCTCACCTTGGGTCCTGCCAGCATGGTTGTGCCCCATGGGACAGGAGGATGGGGGGCGCCCTTCGTCTGGGCCGGTCCAGGCCAGGATGCAGCTTGTCTGAGCCCGATTTTCTCTTACCCGTAACATGAAGAGGGCAGCCTGCCGGTCCTCCGAGAGCCTGCTTCCCTTTCTGAGCTTCCCCGGTTCTGAGATGGCAGTGTGGGGCTGCTGTATGGTGACCATGTTCCCAGAGCTCAGAACTGGCCGATGAGGGACGGAAGGACATGTCGCATCATTGAATAGTAGCTCCCACGTAAGCGTCCACCGTGTGCCAGGCCTGCGCTGGGTTCTTTGTGAGTGTCGTCTCCACCTCAGCCGAGAATCATCCCCCATGCTTACAGCATCCCTACAAGTCAGATGGCATCACCTGCCTCCCCAGTGAGATGTGCAGCTTCCAGACCTCGCCCCCCGTCTCGTAGCACATGAGGGGCTCTGGGATTGGAACCCAGGCCTCTTGACTCCCTTCCATTGGGAAACCAGGCTGCTCTCTGCATCTGTAGTGAGCTGGTGCATTTAAGTACTCCGAGGCAGAGGATGGACACCGCGGTTGTCAGGTGCAAGCAGGTGGTCAGGAAACCCGTGAACCTGGTTTCGGGGTACCTGAGGTGGGCTCCTTCGATGGTGGCCTTCCTTCCAGGGCCATTGCTTTCCCCTGGGCTGAAGCCAGTTTTCTTAGCTGGCTAGCTGGGAAACTGCCCAGGAAGGCCCACGTCGGGGCCTTGGAGGTGACTGGAGACACCATGCACTGCATGCTCTAGACCTTTCCTCTCTGCCCCATGGGAAGTGTGGCCTTTGCTGAGGTCCTGGTAGGGTTCCACATGGTAGTTCGTGGCCCCAGTCTTCAGACTGACTCAGGCCCTCCCGGCCCTATAATGGGCCCTGTGGAATGACCTGCTTAATGACCACATAGTGGGACAGTGGGTTCTCAGCCAGGGACAATGGTGCCCCTCAAGGGGACATTTGGCAATTTTTAGAAACATTTTTTAAAAAGATTTTATTTATTTATTTGAGAGAGAGCACAAGAAGGGGGGGGAAGGGCAGAGGGCAAGGGAGAAGCAGACTCCCCGCTGGGCAGGGAGCCCGACGCGGGGCGTGATCCCGGGACTCTTAGACCATGACCTGAGCCGAAGGCAGATGCTTAACCGACTGAGCCACCCAGGTGCCCCTAAAACATGTTCAGTTGTCACAACTGGGGTTGGGGTGACAATGGTATCTAGTGGGTAGAGGCCGAAGATGCTGCCTAGCATCCTACAGTGAACAGCACAGCCCCCCACCACAAACCAGTCACCATCCCGATATGGCCCCAGTGCCAAGACCGAGACACGCTGCAGCAAGACTAGGTTTCCTGGTCTATGATGAGTTAATTCAGGAATGTCAGCTCTGAAGAGGAAAGGGTGTTAAGCAGGTAGGGAGCTTTTGTTCTGGGTCAGATGGTGAGCAGATGGTTGCATGTTGCCTGAGTCCGGGGAACTACTAACAATCTGAAGAGTCTCAGAAGCCCAGGGGCAGCCTGAGAGAGGAGACTGGCAGTTGTGAGCCTTGCTTTGGAAACAGTGGGGTGGGCTGAGGCTCTTTCTCCCTCCTGCAAGGCCCCCTTAAAAGCCCCTGTTCCCCTGGGTCCTCTGGTCCTTCTGAGTCCTCTGTGCCATGTGTCCGGGCAGGAGGATGGGGTGCTTGAGGATGCCAGGCCCTGGAGGAAGTAGAGAGGGAGTAGGTTTTAAAAAGAAGCAGGAAGGAGACTTCTTTTGAGACGGGAAGGAAGCTGGAGTGTTTTTTGAGGGGAGGAAGGAATCACTTCGTGGGAAGAGCTGTGAGGCTTTAAGGAAGTGCCCCCCCATCTTCTAGGACATTTGCTGCAAATAGGGCCTGGGGGGCGCTGGGTGCAGGAGAGACGGGAAGGTTTAGAACCATGAATAGAGCTGCTTCCAGAAGGTGTCTTCGATTCTAGAGGTGCTTATTGAGCCTGCAAGAGAAAGTGTGACCAGTCCAGGGAGAACAAAGATGAGTCAGACCCGTTCCTGAACTCAGGAGGCTTGGACTTCACTTGCATTGTCATCACCTGGGCGGGGGTTCTCTGCCAGGTGCTCCAAGAGAAATACCTGCTTGTGAGCAAAGTCAGGGAGCAGCGCACAAATACTCACCCCCCGGGCGTTTGCGGTGGTGAGCATGAATTGCTCTGAGAAGATATCCAGCAAGAGGCCAATTCAGGTTTAGCCGAGCATTTCCCAAACCACGTCCACTTGTTGGGATGAAGGGTAGGGCTGCCAGATTCAGCAAATGAAAATATAGGTTTAAAGAGATCCAGTTAAATCTGAATCCCAGATAAATGAGGCATTACCAAGACATATTTATACAAAAACCCTTTTTCAATGATCTGAAATTCAAAGTTAACTGAACTGTTTTATCTCGCCTCTGTCCCAGCCTGGCACGGGGTGGGTGTTGGGGGCATAACCCCCATCAGTGAAACACAACTTCGGGAGCACTGTCCTGGGCCATACCTGTGCCAACTCTCCAGTCCCTTCTTCTGCAGACCTCTTTGCAACGTTTGCCCTCCTTTGTCCAGTGACATGTGGTTAGTTTTCTGGTGTGCTGACTGCCCAGGACAGCTGTGAACCCACAAATGCATGAAAGGCACCAGCTGGTGCAGGCAGAGCCCAAGGTAGCCAAGCCAAGGCCAGGCTGGCCAGATCCCCATGGAGCGGTGGGGTCATGAGGTGGTGGAGCATCTCGTGGCCAACATGTGGAACATGCACAGTGTGTTTTAAAATAAGGAGCAGCCTCTGTGGCTGGCAGTGGCTGTGGGGGTGGGGAGGCTGGGAAGAAGAACAGCAAAGAGAGGAGAGGGAATGGACCAGAGGAAAGGTCAAGAAGAGGAGCGTGGCAGCAGAGTTGGAGGGAGAGATTACAGGGATGCCTGGCATAGGGACAGGTGGCAGGCAGGGAATGCTCAGTCCTCCTGCAGTGGCCTGGGGGCCTCCACGGAAAGTCTCCCCATTGTTCCTCACAACAAGCTCCGAGTAGTCAAGAACAGGCTCGATGATGGTAATGGCTGTCTTCTTCTCCCTTGCTTTAGTTCCACTGGCCTCTGTTATTTCTTTAACACACCAGGCATGCTTCTACCCCAGGGCCTTTGCACTTGCGGTTCCTTTTGCCTGTGATGCCCTCCCCCCCCCCCCCCCAGCCAGATATCCTCCTGATTCACGCCTTTACCTTGTTTCTGATCTTTGCTTAAGTGTTTCCTCCTTGGAGGGCTTTGCCAACTACTTTATTTTAAAATTGCAATGTCCCTGGCTCCATTTTTCTCCATAGTGCTTATTACCATTGGGCAGTCTGCACATTTTGCTTCTTTGTTTCTGAACTGTCTTCTCCCTGAAGAATGTAACTTCCAGGAGGGCAAGGATTTGGTCTGTTTTGTTCATTGTTGAATCCCCAACGCCCAGAATGGTGCCTGGTCCCGACTGGGAATTCGGTAAAGGTTTTTCTGAATGACTGAATGGTTTGAGCTCTTCCCTAAACAGCCCTCCTCACTCCCGTTTTACAGATGAGGAACCGGAGGGTAAGCCTATCCAGGGTCTGGAGCCGGTGATGGGTGAGAGCAGGCTTTGTACCGAAGCACTGCGCCCGCCCAGTGGGGACCCGGGGGAGGGGGCTGGGGGCTCCGCTTAGAGGGTGGCAGTCTGGCACGAGAGGAGAAATGCTCCCGTGTCCTGTGTCCTTCAGTGCCTGCTTTGCCTCCTCTTCCTCAGGCTGCGGTTCTGAGCCGGCCTCTGTCCCCGATGGCCCACGCAGCAGCTCGGTGGAAGGGAGCCCCTTCCGCCCCCCGTCACACTCCTTCTCTGCCGTCTTCGATGAAGACAAGCCTATAGCCAGCAGTGGGACTTACAACTTAGACTTTGACAGCATCGAGCTGGTGGATGATTTCCAGACCTTGGAGCCCCGCTGCTCAGACTCTAAGAGTCAGGAATGCAAAGTGAGCACGCGGAGGAAATCCACGGATTCCGTGCCCATCTCCAAGTCCACGCTGTCCCGCTCTCTCAGCCTGCAAGCTAGTGACTTTGACGGTGCTTCTTGCTCAGGCAACCCCGAGGCCGTGGCCCTGGCCCCAGACGTGTGCAGCACGGGTTCAAACAGTGCTTCCAATACCCTTAAGCGAACTAAAAAACCAAGGCCACCTTCCTTAAAAAAGAAGCAGACCACGAAGAAACCCGCTGAAACCCCCCCGGTGAAAGAGACACGACAAGAGCCAGTGGAAGAGGATCCTGTCCCCAGTGAGGAGAATCGAGCATTCGAGACAAAACCGGAATTGTCCAAGACGGAAGGTTCTGTACCGGCCCTCTTGGAGGAGACGCCCCTGGAACCCACTGCTGTGCCCAAGGCCGCCTGCCCTCTGGACTCCGAGGGTGCCGAAGGGGCCATCCCCCCAGCTTCTGGAAGTGGCAGAGTGCAGAACTCACCTCCGGTTGGAAGGAAAGCGTTGCCTCTTGCCACGGCTCCGGAGGCGGTGGAGGTGACTCCATCAGATAGTGGGGGGCAGGAGGACTCCCCAGTCAAAGGGCTCTCGGTGAGGCTGGAGTTTGACTATTCTGAGGACAAGGGTAGTTGGGACACCCCGCAGGAAAACCCCCCTCCTACCAAAAAGCTAGGCAAAAAGCCGGTTGCCAAAATGCCCCTAAGGAGGCCAAAGATGAAAAAAACACCCGAGAAACTCGACAACACTCCTGCCTCACCTACCAGATCCCCCGATGAACCCAATGACATCCCTATTGCTAAAGGTACCTACACCTTTGATATTGACAAGTGGGATGACCCCAATTTTAACCCTTTTTCTTCCACCTCAAAAATGCAAGAGTCTCCCACACTGCCCCAACAGTCCTACAACTTTGACCCAGACGCCTGTGATGAATCCATTGACCCTTTTAAGACATCCTCTAAAACCCCCAGCTCGCCTTCTAAATCCCCAGCCTCCTTTGAGATCCCAGCCGGTGCCATCGAAGCCAATGGAGTGGACGGGGATGGGCTGAACAAGCCCGCCAAGAAGAAGAAGACGCCCCTAAAGACGTAAGTTCAGGGGTGCAAGGTGGTAAGATCAGAGGTGGGGCTGTGCGTTGGCTGTGATCCTGGGTCATGTGTCTGGATGGACGTGGCTGCCCTAGCCCTTCCCCCCCATGCGCCATAACGCCACCAGGTTTGCAGCACGGTACCTGTCTCCCTTCCTCTCTGCTCCCACAGTGGTGGCATTTCCCAGCCACCTACCCCTTTGGGTCTAGAGTCCTTGATCCTTTGCCTTATTATGACAGTGGTTTAACGCATTACTTTTAGCTGAAGTCCTGACATTTGACTCCAGGGGAGTGTGGGAGAGCCCGTGGAGAGGGAACCATCCAGTGGAGACCTGGTCAGCCTCCCTTTGGTGACTTAGCCTTTTCCCTGGTTAGCATGGGAATTGCTTCTTGGGGTGGCCTACCAGCTAGGAGATCTACCCTTAAAATATTGTTAAGAATTTATAGGATTTGTGTCTGGCCTTTAATGGCCCAGGAGCGAGAGGTCTGGCCTGGACCCTCCTCCCTGCACCGCAGCCCACCCATGAGAAGCACCTCATGTGTCTTCATTCCTTTTTCTAACCATCTTTTGCAGAAAAGACTCCAAGGCCCTGTAGGTCCAGAAGAGGTCAATGAGAAGACAGTCCCCAGGAGGCCATTCATGATCGGTTCTGCTGGCCACAGACACTTGCCAAGTAGAGTACCCTTCAGTACTCCGTGTCATGTCTCTGGAGTCAGTCCCCAGACCCAGCTGTCACCTGGGTGGCTGCGGGTCCCTGCTCAGGCTGTGGGTCCCAGCATAGTGGGGATGGTGCTTGGAGCCTTTCTCCTGCCCTCCTGGGAAGTATGGTCAGTAGTTGCGAGGCCCCAGAGACCAGGCTTCTGGCGCCAACTCGGCCGGAGAGACCACCAGACTCTGCCTGGTACGAACTGAGACAGGGTGACCTTTTTACCTTCCATTCGGGGCTCCCCGCAGAGTTAACATTTGAGAAGAACCTGGAGCCTCCTGAGAGCAGGTTCTCTAAACAGACATTAGTACGTGGATCCCAAGACTTTGGAGATCAGCTCCCCAACCAGGCCCTTCCTAGATACTCCGTCGAAGCTGTGTTGGGAGCTTTTTTTAAAGCCTCGAACAGAAGTCTGAGATGCCCAGACAACAAAGCCACGGTCTCTCATTTTTGGAATGAGAGCCAGCTTGTAGCCACCACGCATCTCCTCCTTCCCCACCCACGGGTAGCTTGGTTACAGAGCTAACTAACAGGTCAGGGAAGCCAGTCCATCTTCTGGGTCTCACCTCTAGTGCAGAAGACTTGGAATCCTACACTGGTGTGACAAAGGTCTTTGGGCACCAGCACCTTACAGGGTAATTGGAACCAAGAGAGGAAGGTGCTCTCCGACAGCCCCTCTCAGAAAGCTGGGCCGTTGGCCACGCTCGGCAGCAGAACCCACGGGATGGCTCCTGTACCCCAACCCACTGAAAACCAATCGTCTGCAGATTGATCTTTTTTGTCAGTTCCTTCTGTCTGTCTCTCTTTTTTCTTGTCTTCTTGTCTTAGGATGGTTGAAGATGTGATGTCTGTGTGTTCTCTGTTGTAAGTAAATTTAATGGAATCTGCCTCTCATCCTACCTGTGCTTTTTTTTCCCTGCTTTTCTGTTTGCTTTCAAGCCCTCTCCATCTCCTCTCCGTGGCGGCTGCTTACGTATTTCTGCCTCGGGCCTGGGGATGGTGGGGGTGGGCAGGGGGGCTCCCCAGTAGCAGAGGTTACGTTCCTGTTTCAGAGTGATTAGCGTAAGTGAAAACTGCTTGGCTGTGAAAATGTGATTATCCAGCATCTGCCTGCTTGTCAGGAATGGAACTGTTTTTTTTTCCCCCTTGCATATTGAATGTCTTCATCTGAAACCCATACATTGTTTTTTTTAAAAAGCTCTCATTCCATTCTTTCATTTCCAATTGGACTAGTGAGCGATTGCTTTCAAAGCCCTGTGGCTTCACGACGAAATAACCCTCCGGCCGACCACAGGCAGTGGCCCGAGGTCGCTGATTCATGCTCACATATGAAGCGGAGATCGTGGGGCTAATTGAGACCCCCTAAAATGCCAGATCGGCTCGGAGTGGAGCACACAGCTGTGAGAGCCCTCGCCGGCCTGCTCTGGGCCTGGTCCTTGGTCTCCCGGGACCAGGCCAGGTATCGATCGGCGTGCCATCTGAGGGTCACCCTGCTGGGTGACAGTGGAACCCGAGCAAACCACCTCTTTTCTATGTTGTTTTGCCACCATGGGGGGGACATTGTGGGCAGCTCCCAGGGGCCCCAGGACAGGTACCCTCCCTGCCTCCCTGTCCTTACCAGGGAAGCTGGCCTGGTCCCAGGCGTCCAGCAGCCCCCCGGGATAGGGTTGAGTCTCTCAGGCTTGCTTCTGCCCAAGGGATTTCTTTAGTTTTTTAGAGCCATTTAGCAACTCTCAACTACACAGTTATATGTTTATATGCATGGATAAATATATGCTTCAGGCTGGGACTGCACTGCTCGTATGGCAAATGCTGTAAATGCTGCAGATGACCATTTCTAGTGGTTTTTCATGACTGAATGCCATTGTTGAAGCGTTCTGTTGAAGAGAACACAAGGAAGGAACTTGAGTGCCAAATTGCTCTGTCCATCCAGTTAACGTTTAGAGCAGGGAAAGGTAGTTGCAGTAATAAAAGTGCCAATAAGTAGGGCGCCTGGGTGGCTCAGTTGGTTAAGTGACTGCCTTCGGCTCAGGTCATGATCCTGGAGTCCC